GGATCAGATATATATCTGAATGATGCTCAACATATTCTGAGAGCTTAGGAAGAATAATGATCCAAATGTTTCATGCTATAACTCAAAGTTTGAGTTGAAATTCTTAATCAAAACATGACTGCAAGTATTCATGGTTCATTTTTCTTGAAGATTATTTATAGAGGTTACTGGGTATAGTAATATTTCTCCCACTTGTCATAGCCTTTTTGTGGTTGAATATTCAGGACCCCTGACAGTAGCTGAACAAAGAGCCCCTGCTGAAGTATTTTGAAACTAATCAGCAGGTCTCAAACCCAACTGGTTGACAAAAAACCAGGTGCACCTGGATGTGTTTTTTGCTTTGAGGTTTCAAAGAAGTCAACATGATACACAAAGTTACCCTCAAAGAAGCAACTGGGAGTACCTAATTTTTTGGCAACCTGGTTAGATTTGAGACTGGCTATTAGAAAGTTATGAAGATCCTCATCTATTTGATAATGTAGCATTATGATCCTTGCACATACTGCCCACTTGTCATTCACATAAGGAGGGAAATGGTAAGTAATCTTTTGTGCTGAGATGACCACATCATCCATTCTTTGACCTTAGACAAAACAATATGATTTACAAAGGATTTCACCTACACCAGCATCCTCTAGTTGATGAAATTGAATGATTGAAGTGAGAAAGGTTTTTCCAAAAAGCTGGGATTATAAAATGTTGTAAGGCCTTTTTTGTTAAATTTCTGAAACTTTAAATTTGATCTGCTTAATTTTGCGGAGGAATGCTCAACTTACAGCATGCTACCTCTCTTTGCTCAGAGTTTCTTCCCAAAATCTTCTTGCCCAGTATTGAGACAAATCAATCCAGGAGTACAGTACAAATCTCCTTCTCCCTGGTTGATAAAGCTAAGAGTGACCCCAGATGGCAATCAGCATGGGATCAACCATGGGATAGGGCTGACAGACAAATGCCTTTGGCTCAACTTCTCAACCAAGGCCTGCATGGTGTTTATGTGATTACTTCCAGAGAGGTCAGCAGTAGGGTCATCTAGACACAATATGGGAAAACCTTCTGATGACAGCATTCTAGCTAATGTAATGCCAGGTGTATTCTGACAGATCCCAATGATTCCTCAGCTGTGCTACATTGATCATGTATGGAAATGTCCTGGTCCTCTGAACACATGGAGAGCTGCCCAGGATTAATGAACCAATCACCAGATATCAGAGTTCAAATCTTTCGTTTTCATTTTTTAAACAGAGCTGACCTTGAATTTATAAGCAGACAATTTGTCCGTGGTTTCCAATCTGATTTCCATTCGGCCATGTGCTGTCATTTTAGAGACGGAGACCATGAGACCTAGTGTGAGAAAACCTTGGGGTGCACAAGACGGATCACTCACCCCCTTTTGCCACAATCATTGTATCTTGAACTCCTTTTATACATCTGTTTAAAGTTTACACCTTAGCCTTTTCAGAGAACCTTATTTTGGAATAATGATGTACTTTTGCACCAATTTGGCCTGATGAAGTTTTGAGCAGTCTTTTTGTGAAATAATCAGTTGCAGTGAAAATTGCTGGAGGAGGGACATATTTAGGTCACATACCCTTGCAATCCCAAAACGGCATCCAACCTAGACAAGAGGTAATTCATAAGCAGAGTAAGACTCTAAGAGAAAAGCTCTGGAAGACTTATGTTTCTTGAATTGCTACACCTTTCTAATGCCACTTGACATACTTTGCAGGGAGCAAATAGATGTAAAAGATCTTGTAAATGTTTGGAGGACAAAGCTCTTTTGATCCATCTTCTAGTAGCGCACACCTCCAAGGCTGTGATAGGCTTTCAATGTTATGTCTAAGTCTGCCAGGAGAAACCTGTGTATTTGAACAGCACAATCACACAATGGCCTGACTATGGTGTTTTCCTCAGTGCAATTTCTAGAATGGCTGCTTCTACAAATGGACTTTTCACCTTGAGCCCTTGAACTTGACCTCTACTTTTTTTGATCTTGTAGTGCCGACTCAATAATGTTCTGTATTTTTGGGTAGATGTAAGAGGGGGTGTCAGCAATCCATCACCAATCAAAAAAATGATGATTTCACAGACTGCCTTTCCTGAGAACGACTGGCACAAGATTACTGTGATTGGTTGAGTGAGATTGAAGGTTTGTAAGTCACCAGTGAAAGATCTGAAACCCCCAAATGAAACAGAGACTCCTTGATCCACACTGTGTATTTGAAGTCAGGTTAGAAGTCCTTTCTGAATGGTTGGGGTTGATGCATTTACGGTACTCAAAGTTGTGTATACTTTGCCGTGTATAGTTTTTTTTTGTTTTTTTGAAGCTAGACACAACCCGGAAAAAGTATATCTTGTGTTCGGAGCTCAAAAATATGTACTTCTGAGCCAGAAACATAGTTTTTCCTGGTCGTGTGTAGTTGTGAAAAAGAAAAAAAAACTATGTACGGCAAAGTATACACAACTTTGAGTACCGTAATTGGGTAAAGGGTATGGAGGAGGATGTGCAACAATGTTCCTGTGTATAAAGTCTTGGTATTACCACTGTACCTATCAGAGTGACACTAAGTTGTAATAAGCAAGCAAGTGATATGATACAGGCAATAAGCTACCAAGCTTTGTTATGTGTCCTGACATTTTATTTTATCTTTTGCTTCCTTTTGAATTACAAGGTGGTTTACCACATTGAGTTATAACCAATCCGCCTGGTGATCCCCCGATCTGTAACACCCCTTGAAACTTTGTGAATAGAGTGGTGCGTTTGCAGCAATTTTATCAAAATTGCTACCAAAACTGTCAGCCTACAACCCCCAAACACCAAGAAAGACCTGCTTCTATCATGATGTACTTCCTCTCCTTCAGACCCACTGGATTGATGCTGCCACACCAAGACAATTCCAACTTCACAAGTAGGGGTCACTTCATCACAATCATGCGGATTTTCAGTTAAAACTATTAAAATCTGCCAGGGGACTCCTTTATATCAAGGATATGGACCCTTACCAGAGCTGTCATATTTGACTATGTGTTATCTTGTGATGCTTGCAATTCAAACCAATTGCACCTAAGTCTCTCAGCAAGCATAACATTGGATTATCTTTCAGCTCAGTATATTGTCATGAACAAGATTGTATATCCCTGGTATCCTTGGTCAAATGGCTTTGACAATGTTACACCTGGCCAGATATTAGATCACCAGGCCAAATTTAACCAATGATAGATATTCTACCAGGACTGGGGGATTTATTGTTAACTTGAATTGTTTCTCATGCGCAGTTTTTATGAAGGATGGATTTTCTTTTCTTTCCAAGGTACTAATTTTTCTCACCCAGTAATTTGTGATGTTTTCCTACCAATATTTTTCATTTGTCTCAAGATGGCTCATCATTAAGTAGATTTAGTTATTATTTTGACTGATTTTCTCTTTGATTCATCATTATCAACTGTTTCTTTTGATAATTGTTGACCAACATATTCTTTGTTATATTCCTTTTGAGGTGACTGGTATGTGCAATTGGTGATAAGATTCTCTGGTGGAAGTTTGTTTGGCAAACATCATAACCCGTCAATCCTCTTTGGAGCCATTTCTAATGAATCACTAGTTATCTCATTCCTCAATGTTCAATTCAGCATATTCATCTAACATTATACATTCATCAATTTTCTGAAGCTTAAAAACACATTTTTGTAAAGTTTTAAAAAATACATTGTTCCGAAGTAAAGCAAAAGCAACACTTTCCACCAAAATAAAAAAAGTAAATCCTTCACAGAAAAGAAAACCAGAACCGGAACCTTAACCTTAACCATCAGGAAGAAACAAGTATCAGGATTTGGAATCCAAAAGTGCTAATCCACATCCTCCCCCACCAAAAACAAGGAACAAAATACAAAATGAATATGAAATGAATCCAATACAAAAAAAAATAAAAAAAGATGTAACTATCTATAAATATTAATAATAATTTAATAACAGATAAACGAAATAAATGAAATAAAATTACAAAAAGCAGAGAAATACAAACACATTCATCTGTCACATCACTCTTTTTTCTTTCTCCATTTATCTCCATTTTGCTTTTTCCTTCAATTGGTTCATATAAAAATTCGAAAAAAAGAAACTTCTTTGGAATCAAAATATCTCTTCATATAAAACTTTGTATCTAAATGATCAATAAAGAAAATAAAACACACAAACCCCAACACCCGGGGCACGTGCACTTACGCAATTTCTGGGAAGAAACCACATTCTGCAAATTTCAAATGTCTATTTGGTGCCCTTTTGCATCAGATAAATAACAGAATGTGATTTCTGGTCAGAATTTCCTTAAGTGAATGCGCCCTTGATGTATCACATTTTTGCATTCCATACACAAGTGTGAAAGAGGGTTGCTAGGACTATAGTGTAACAAGCTGATGATTCATTGAAATAGATAGTTATCTCACTTATCATCACATCCATCATTGGGTAGAGTGGATCATTCCTGTGCATGCTGTTCAATTGATTTCCCATGGATGACTTTGGGTGAACATACTTGACTAAGAGCCATTGGGTTTATCACCCTCCATCTCTTGAGTCAGGATCTCATGTGGCTGTGAGGTGGTGAAAGCATTGGTCAAAATCAAACTGGGCAACAGGGAAAAGATCAAAGAAACCAAAAAAGACAAACTCAAAAAGACACTTACGGTGAGAATGTCCAAAATGTCCCTCATAGCTTGCCAGTCTGCCACTGAGAAGATCATTTCCTCAAAATAGCCATGTTTTTTGTTGTCTTTTTGGGGTCAACATTTTTTGGATGAATTCAGTTAAATCTTCTGTCATCACAGCATTTATCAGCTGGAGGAGGTTACATTTATCTATTAGCCTTCATTCTCACACCCCATTTGGATGATAGAACATTGAAATGAAAATGTACAGAACAAGCCTCCCACATTTGCTCCAACTGTTCATGCAATTCTTCCACCCTACCACAATCTTAAGCATCTTATCTAATTCTTTCTTCTCTTTATTGATTCACAGACTTTCCTAAATCACACAGCAACAATATGGCTGATTTGCGCCCTGCCCAGTTGGGCACTACCTCAATCACCACAACGGGATATATGACCTGCACTTTGACAGCTACCAATTCAGATATGAATGTCACCTTAAAGGAAGAAGCTCCTCTTGATGAAGTCCCAGCACCAAGTCCGCCCATTTGTTTGAAATTGTCTACCAAGAAATGGGCTGCATCACCCAAGACCAAGCCATCCCAGAAAAAACAAGCAGTGTTGTCAAGACTCCACTCCTACAATGAAAAAGCCTTGGATTGCATCAAACCGCTCTAAGGTAACAAAGAAACAGGCTAGTCTATCACGAGTCTTCATCCAGACTATACTAAGCATGTATTTGAAAGATCTTGCACTCACTGTATTCTTTCTGGTTCCTTTCGGATTGCAGGTTGTCCACTTTGAAGCCAACCCAGAATCTCCCAGCTCTCATCCTAAGAAACCATGTCAAATCTGATGAGTCCGGTCATGTAAATGGATTGGTAGATTGGCTGTCTCCTTTTTTGCACCTTCCAACACCACTCCTAATTCTACTTATTATACACAGACTGACTAGTGGGAAACATCACAGAACAAATCCAGTCTGAGTACGTACAAATCACTTACATACTAAAAGCAGCCCAAAACCTCTTGTCCAAGTTGATCAGAAATCCCCAGGTAACACTGGCTATGTAAGGATATCAACATTTATATCTCCAAGTCTATTTTCCATTCCCTTAGTCAATTCCTGTCCACTGTGTTATCCTCCTGGGAGTCAGCAAGAAGGAAAGCTCCTGTCCGCAACCCCAGAAGATATCAAACCGTGCGCAGGACAGCCCACCAAATAATCTACAGACAACTTCTTGGCTTTTACAGATGTGGATTTGTTTGAAGGCAAAGGCATTAGTGTGTCTATTGATATTGTCTCTGTATCTGGGCCCATCTGACTGTTTTTTGTCACTCATCTCCCAGACACCAACCCATTGCTATCTGTAGATGATCTCTTGGTATTGGGTAATGATAAGAGATCAGTTATTGAAGTCTTTCGAGACAAAAGATGCAAATTGTCTCTCAAGGTGAGAAAACTTAATTATTTTATCATTCAATCTCATCTGTAGGAGTTGACACCATATAACAAAATTTCCATGGTATATGCACTGGAGAAGCGTTTCAATGAATTAGAAAACAAATTGGGTTGTTTCAGCGAGAGCCAAGAACATGTCATGGTGCAACTCAAAGAGGATGCTCAAAAGGACATTGAAGTCTTAAAGGATGACACCAAAAAGGGAATCAAAAGCCTCAAAGCGGCAGTCTGACAATTGCGTTCAGCTTTGGCAAAAGCAGCTGCTGCCATCCAAGCTCACAACAAGGTTTTGATTAATCTACTTACCAAAACCAATAGCAATGATAGAGGAGCTGATGCTAACCAAAGTTAAGTTGAGTATAGCTTGGGCAGTGAGCAGTCTCGAGCAGTCTATCTGTGCCAAGTCAATTGTTGAAGAGACTATATACATAATGTGATACTTTTCTGATTTCCTTATTTGCAACGTTGAAAAAAGCAACCCCTTCACCTTCAAAATGCTTTGAACTTCTTTAGATTGTCCTCCCTTGCTCTTCTCAAGACCGTCCCCTTCTTGATAGATCCAGTACGATTAGCATTAGTGGCAATTTTGTCCTTTTGAGTTTGACATTTTTACAATTCAAACTTTG